TCTTGATTAATATTGGTGATGTTAGTAATTTATTCATTAATTTTAGTAATGGTATAACTACTACTACCACTACTACTATTAATAGTACTACTGAAATAGAATGACAAAAGCTTTTATTATCAATTATATTGAATGAAAAACTGGAATATAATGCGATATTATGAATGAATAACAATGTAATATGAAGGAATCTTGATTCGCTTTTATTCTCTACTGCTTTCATTACCATTACCAGTACCATTACCACTATTATTATTATTATTATTATTATTATTATTATTATTATTATTATTATTATTATTCAGTATCCTTTTTCATATGATAATTCAATATAACAATAAAACTATTAATACTACTACTACTACTATATAGTAACAATAAGTAGTCACACTTTATGAATAACATAAATATCCTTAATAAAATAGGGAATTATTATGTTTGTTTGTTTTTAATTCTGGTGAGGCAGTGAATGGATGGAGAAGGAGGGGTGGGGGTGGGGTGGAAGCATGAGATATAATGTAATGAATAGGTTAAAATACTCTACCCTATTTAGTGGAATAATGAAAACTATTAACTATGAATGTCATTATGCTCATTAGGAATTATTATTATTATTACCAATACAATAGACAATGATACATGTAAACTTGAAGGAATACATACACTTGCACATACATTCACACACACACATACACACACACATAAACGCACACACACAGTAATAAACAGTTAAAATCTATTCATGATCTATATCACTTTTATTTTACATTCCATTGACAATACCAATTTAATAATAATCATAATCATAATGATTATATGGTCATTAATGTTCCATAAAAAGTGATTTCATTCAAACAAATCATATGGATCTTATAAATATTGGCAACAATACAACCACCACCACCACCACCACCACCACCACCACCAACAACAACAACAACAACAACAACAACAACAACAACAGCGACAGCAACAACGATAACAGCAATCAAAATGCAAAAAGAAAAATAAAACAAGGCTAATATAAACAAATAATGAGGATAATAATAAGTAAAAAAAGAAGTGAAATGTCCTTAATCAGAGATTGTTGTTTTCCCTTTTCTTTTTTATTGTATAGAATTTGTAAAATAAATGGATAAGCAATTGATTTAGTTTAATGGAATAAATGTACAAGTGTCTGACTAATGAGAATGATCATCAGAAACGAGAAGAAACGAGAAGAAAAGAAAAGAGAACAGGAAAATTTAATTCATCGGAATGGAAGATTTAGAGAAATGCCTCGTTTACTTTTTGTTTTGAGAAGAGTTAACAGTGAGATTATAATTTATAGATGAACCATTTAGATATAAAATAACAGATTTTTGAATTTTGGCACGAAATTCACTCGTCTATTTGGATAAATAGAGTATTGACATTATAGCTGATGTTACAGTTCGTGATTTAAAAAAAAACCCTAAATCGAATTCATTAACCGTAAATCATAATTGTAATTCCTCACATAGATTTATAACCCCTTATTTAGTGGACACTCTCAGGGTCAGTCGTGGGTCGCTCAAAGATTGTCCACTAATTATAGTCTCACCGAGTTTACAATACAGAGATTGATCATTGAAATAGAATTTCCAATTTTATATGTGATGACACATGAGTGTATACATGTGAGTTCTCTCAGTAATTAATTCTAGAACATTCAAAATGTATGCAGATTGAGTTAACTATGAATTACTGCATTGGGATACAATGATCTATTGATGTTCAATATACCATAGCTTTATTTAGTTCTTAATCAGACTCTACTCACAGTATACATATATACTGGATTGAAAAACTAGTTTCATTTTGAGTTAACATTTATATGAACTGCTATATTCTTAGGCCCTATTAATTATCATATGACTAAGTCACCAATTACAACACCGACTTATACGACTATGGCAATGTGTCAAACCAATAATGCGTCAATCGTTATGAGCAGCCTAGAATTAACTTTGAGTTCTTATTGGTCTTTCTTGCCTAGCCTTATCTGTTTAGTGTCAGAACACAATCTCAACTTCCACTGTATGAGTTATGTATTTCAGACAAACTCAGTTCATTTACAAGAAAACTCGACGTTATCACAGAATAAAATAGAAAGTAATAATTATAGACAAGATCAGGCCAAAAGTGGCTGTGAGTGTGAGATACTGTAACTACTTGATTGGGGATAACTTAAGGATGGTAATTTGTATTACAGTAAACAATAGGTCAAATGAAAGCTTATGATAAAAGTAATAAAAATATATATATGTTCGGGAGCTCAAGTTTGTGATCATATCAAGGCTTACAAACTGTTCATCGGATCATCAATAGAATCTTGATGAATATGAACTGGTAATGAAAACTTTCTTATTCAGACACGTGGTTTTAAGAACAAATGAATATTGAAATTCATGGTTTGTAGGAAATATGTTATATTTTAAAGACTCGCCTAATCACATGCTCCATAGAGCTCAATGGTTTTTGATTTTATTCAGTGACAAAGACATCATTAAGCTCAGTCAGTCAGCTACAACGTAGGACCAGGCACATATATGCTCAAGTATAACTAAACAATCGGCTAACAAGTTAGACATTAACACTATTGGATACCGACTCAGCGATCTTGAGGTTAAACATCAACGCGCTATACCGAAAGTCCTGTATTCGAACCCCGCTGGCGGGATCGTAGATTCGTACTGCAGATGAGTCGCGTACTAGGACGAAACTGAATAAAATAGTTATTCTCATTGATTTATAATTTATATTGAAAAAGAAATTTAACAATTGTCTTAATCACTTCACAATTCAAGTTGATGACATTTTAGTTCACCATCTTAATGTTCAACGAAACAAGATAAGGGTTAAAATAGTTGTGTTAATGCACTATATTTTACTCACACATTTATGTAGATATCGGTTAGTGACTGGAATTAATCCGATAACTATTTTTTACATCTTAATGTAGCATTCTTCATCAGTTGTGTACGCCGTCCAACACACACAGGATAAAGTTTTGGAAATTCCTATTCGACGATTCGAGTAATATTTATGGAGTTAGAATTCAATGATTCATCTGTTTTTTTAGAGTCAAGATAATTTCTGAGAAGGAATCTGAGTATTATTGATAAAATAATAATAAACTGATTGAAACTACGATACAATCGTAATTAGACAATGTTGAATGCGTGGATGGTACTGGATATCCATTTCCCTTTAGTATTGGACTCCTCAACAGTGGACATCCACGACCCCACAACTGAGAATTGCTTTATAATTTCAATGACATTCAACAATCACCACAAGGCATATTGACAGTAGCAATTATTTGCTGAATGATGTTTTTGGGAATTATCTGTTGTTCATAATACGCCTATAATTTATACTCTTTGCAATATATAGAATAATATGAATTATACAGTATTATATTTTATTGTTGATATAAGTAGTATGTATCATCAACTGAAAGTGAAATGCGTAGCATGAGAATGTCAAGAAGATCGAAGTGAAGAGAATGAAAAAAAAAGAGTAAATGGTGTAGAAACAAGAGAAAACTCAAATCTGAGACATTTTTCAAATGAAGGAATTACGAGGTAAATCATATCGATACGGGCATCCAACGAGGAAACCTAAATCGTCAGACATTTGATCTAGTACCGACCTTTGATCAGGAACTTGGACGTTTCAAATCAAACCTAGTTAACTGCTTCCATCAGTTTAAGAATAGCAGATATAACTACAGAAGTATTTTAACTAAAAAAATGAAGGGCTTACTGTATGATTCTCACATTTTACTAAGTGATTCTGTGTCCGAATACGTTTGGTTGTCCCTACTATTGTTCTCATTCACTACAATATACTATTAAAGCTAACTGAACATAAATATCAAGTGAATATTTTCACTACTCAATACAAGACTATGGTTAGGAGAAGTTTTAAACATAAATTCTTGTCAGACATATCAAGCAGGATAGCTAATATAATGAACTATCGTTATATACTACTTATATGGATATAAGTAGCCCACACCACAACTATATCATTGAAGTAATCTCATTTAGAAGAGAATATTGTATGCTGAAGATTTTCAATAATAGATACCACCTTATCATCATTTATATTCTGTTTCTATGTTAAGAACCAAAACTTATTTATTTTTTAAACACAAGTTGTTTATATTTCATTCTTATATCAATCGAATAAGTAAATAAAACAATATTTCTACATATCACATGACTTTGGGGATTCGAATACTGAATTCGTAATAATGAACCATAGAATATTGTATGTTGTTTCAGTAGTCCATGTACATTTAAGAACAAGCGAGAATGATCAACTTTTCCATATTATTATTATTTGCAGAGGTCCCTCGTTTCGAGTATAATTGATAAGCGTTTCCGACACAACAATCAGCGACGAACAAATATAAAAAGAAGCACTAAACAACAAGACATGTCAGTGGCGATGGGGTGGAAAAAGATGCAAGACAATCAGTATAAAGAATTCTCGTCGGTCTCCTTGAATGACATTGATTATTAATTAGTCATGCAGTATATTTCATTACCGTGCTGATTCAGAAAATGGCTATCTCTTCCGTTCAATTACAGCGACAACCAGATATAACAAGAAGCATTAAACGACAAGACATATTATTATTATTGCTACTATTGTTACTAACCATATTCAATAATAATAATAATGATAATATCTCTTGTATAAACAAATGGAAATGATTTAACATATAAAGAGGATTTTGGCTTTCTTTTTATTCTTCCGTATATATCTGTATATACAATCATAACAATGTATTTATTGTATTTACGGTACCGTTACTTTTTTCTCGTTACAACTATATACTACTAGATGATTGGAATTGTTCAGTTAACATTATATTGTAAACAATATAAGTAATATAAGTAGTATAATCAGAAATGATCATTTAAATGAACAATATTTTTTTCGTTAAAAAGGAAATATGATTGATTTCAGCAACAAATGAAATTGTAGATAATCTTTGCTTTACCGATGAAAAGATTAATCAAGATGATGACGATGATGAAGATGATGATGAAGATGAGAGGATGAGAAGTAGTAGTAGTAGTAGTAGTAGTAGTAGTAGTAGTAGTAGTAGTAGTAGTAGTAGTAGTAGTAGTAGTAGTAGTAGTAGTAGTAGTAGTAGTAGTAGTAGTAGTAGTAGTAGTAGTAGTAGTAGTAGTAGTAGTAGTAGTAGTAGTAGTAGTAGTAGTAGTAGTAGTAGTAGTAGTAGTAGTAGTAGTAGTAGTAGTAGTAGTAGTAGGAGGAGGAGGAGGAGGAGGAGGAGGAGGAGGAGGAGGAGGAGGAGCAGGAGGAGGAGGTTTGAAAACATGAAATAGAAAACATACAACAGGAAACTCGAAATGATGTCTATAAGACTGCATCATAAAATTTCTATCCATTTGTAACGAACAATGTTTCATTGAACAATGAATTATTCACCCAATGTTTGTTTGTTTGTTTTCAATGAATTAAATCAATGTATCAATGGTATTATTCCTAGTTGATGTGGATGTTGTCATCACTTCTCTAATTGAATCATTATTCTCTATATTATTACTTATTTTATCTAATAAACGTGAAAGCATAAATGTTGGTTTGTTTAATTCTAATGAATTTGTTTTATTTAATATTAATTGTTGTTGTTGGTGGTGGTGTTGTTGTTGGTGATGGTGGTGGTGGTGTTGTTGTTCACAATTGTAACTATAGTTACCATGATTTGTATCCATTACATTAGTAGGTTTTGAAATTGTCATACATGAATTACTTTCTATACTTTTCAATGTATTCAATCTATCAGTAGTATGTTCACTATATTGATCCGTGAATATACTATTTAAATTATTCAATAAATGAATTGCTTTTTGATCATCACATATTGGAAATGAAGGTAATAGAGATGGATTAATTAATGATCCATTTAATAAAGAATAATGTGATAATCCATGAGTTTTACCATAAAGTTGATAAGTAATGTCTAAATTTGTAAAGAGAGAAAAAAAGAAGAAGAAAGAACTAGAAACATAATTGATATCAATATCAAGGTTTGACTAGATCATTTTAAATGAACTAATCAATAGGTATTCACTTGGTGTTGTTTACTTGTATCTTCCGATTGTTATTTAGGACTGCATCAGTATTGGGTTCGAGTCCCAGAGTGGAGATCAAGTACGAGATGCAGGTACATCCAGTTAACCAGTCCCAAATAGGATAAGACGCGCGTCCAGGATTCCACTGCTAGATATCATCCATCTTTGTTTATTAAGCTTGTGACTTAAAGCAATATTGAGGCAATCCGCATAGGATGCACATATGCCAACAACAGACTGATCAATCGTAGTTTTAAACATCAATGGAAAGATACAAGTAAACATCACAAAGTGAATAAAACTTCATCCCATTGCATAAGCAGGTGGTTATTAGAACTCAGTAGTTAAGTGGATAACGTGATGGCATTTGAAGCGAATGATACTGGGTTCGAGTCGCAGAGTGAACATCAACTATGAGATGCAGGAACATCCAGTTGACGAGTCTCAAATAGGATGAAACGTGCATCGTGGATTTTACTACTAACTACTATCCATCTTTGCTTATTAATCACTGGGTAGATTGTTTATTTATTCTTAGAATAACTGGCTTATACAAATATAATGAATTTTTTTTTATTACTCGGAGTATTTTGTTGCCAAGCCTACAAACAACAATAATAATCAATATGATAATTTTATGGAAAATTATAAACTATATTGAACAATTCAAATTAATTCAAAGTTAGATGTTACTTTACTTAGTCAAGGAAAATTATTCAGCTGACCACACACACACACACACACACACACAAATATGATTTCTTTTCGCAATCCAAATAAGTAGTACATCTCCAAAACTGAAAAGTGTACATGCCTATACAACATGCATACTAGAAATAATTGGGGAATTCTTCTTTCACAGATTGAACTCATGAGTCAGTTGAATCTAGACCACCATTGAAAACCTGGAAGCACTGGACGGCCGTTTCGTTCTAGTATGGGACTCCTCAGCAGTGCGCATCCAGGACGACCCCACACCATCCGGGGCTCGAACCCAGGACCTGCTGGCTTCGCGCGCGAGCACTTAACCATTAGACCACTGAGCTGGCATCCAACGGTGTTAATGTCTAACTTCAACCAACCCACGAAGTTGCGCTACCGTACACCATTGTCTTCAGTGAGTTCCTATCTCACAACAGACCTGGTTGAACTCCACTGGTAACGACTTCTCACTAGAACTCCAGAAGTGTCTCCTGAAGTCAGTCACTAGTGAGCAGGTGATTATTATTATCAGAATGTGTTTTGTGGAGATTTTTAGAAAGTTTCACAGATTGAACTCATGAGTCAGTTGTCTGATCACTTCTGTAAGGTCATGTAATACTGATGTTGAATGAAATTCAGAGTGTCGTACGTCTTTTTTGAGATTATCTATGGTTTGTATGATTGCTAATTCAACTGTAAATGATTGAATATACAATGTGTTTATGAGAGTAATTCAATTTTACACTTATGAAATCTGATGTCTTCCAATAGATGTTATGACCTGGTACATAGTTGTATTTAAAAATTCATAAATTAATCTATCCAGTTCAGTAGCTTGGTTCATAATAAACTTTCAATGATAGTCTCATCATCATGGTATGGAATGAAGTGACTAGTATAACCATTATTTATTATTATTATTACTAGTAGTAGTAGTAGTAGTAGTAGTAGTAGTAGTAGTAGTAGTAGTAGTAGTAGTAGTAGTAGTAGTAGTAGTAGTAGTAGTAGTAGTAGTAGTAGTAGTAGTAGTAGTAGTAGTAGTAGTAGTAGTAGTAGTAGTAGTAGTAGTAGTAGTAGTAGTAGTAGTAGTAGTAGTAGTAGTAGTAGTAGTAGTAGTAGTAGTATTGGGAATAAACTGTCAGACCTTATTGAGACTACAATACCATTAGACAGTTGAGCTTCAACTCAATAGTTTCTATGTTTAACTTCAGTTAATTTATTTTATTCCTCGACCATTGTCGATTATCGTCGTTGATAGATGTACCACTTAGGACATGGTTGTACTTTATTATTTATGGCTTCCCACTATAATTGTCTATTAGAGTCAGTCTGAGAAGCAAAATATCCTCCAATTGAATAATCACTTCAAATCTCTCAACCGTTTGAAATACAAAATATTTTAATCAATCCAATGTGCATGACTGTTAGGTTTACTTTGTAAAACAAAGTAATGAGAAGCCGTTATGTTGATAAAGGGGTTTCACTTATAAAACTTGTTAGTTTATATCAGTTATATAACATGCCCTTGTGGGCCAAGGTAATTTTACATTGGTTTTCAGGAGAACCAGATATCATCCAGACTTTCATGTGACAACCCAAACAGTACAGCTCAATCCCGTTTAACAAGAGAGCCAGGCACCGTCCAGGCTTAAACTTTATAACCCGAGCAGCACAGCTCAATCCCGATTCATAGGAGAACCAGACACCGTATAGGCTTTTACGCCACAAACTGAATAGTACATCTCAACCCTGTGGCGCAACCACATGGGTACCAAGCACCCTGGTGGACCATAGTTTATAGAACGTGGAATTATAAAAGTTAGTATTATCAATTCGGTCTTTTTAATGCTGAAGTATGGTAATGTGATGGCAATATATTTTTTTTTAAAACGTTGTCTGTTTGTCCAAGGTTAAAAAATAATTTTCAAGGCTGTACAAAACAGCATCAAGCTTACATCCTAAGGTTGCTATTGATCGCTTTCAAAAAACTCCATTGCGATGTCATCAATTCACTTAGATTTGTGACTAAATTGCAAACGTTATTGTTATAATCTTCCCACCACTTAAAAACTGATCACTGATCGTTGACTTCTGATCCAGATCATGAACTGATCAACCACAACCCTATACTGGTAATTATCATTTACTCACTAGTAACTAGATGTAAGAGATAATTCTAGTGAGAAGTCGTGAGAAGCGAAGCTAATCCGTGTCGTGTGTGAAGCAGTTACTAACCGAAGACAGTGAAACCTGGTCGTGCGATGTCGTAGATTGACTGAGCTTAAACATTAACACCGTTGGATGCTGACTCAGTGGTTTAGAGGTCAAGAGTTTGCGTGCCAAATTGAATGTCCTGGGTTCGAATCTCTGGTGACAGGCCGTGGATGGGTAATGCTGAGGAGTTTCTTACGGAACGAAAAGGCAGTTCAGCGTTTCCAGGTTTTCAATGGAGGTTTGACTTATATCAGTTCACAATTTCAATGAAATTCAACAATCTCCACAACCCTATACAGACGTATGTTACTGTATTTGATAACTCCTAGTAGGACTAAAAATACCACGATTCTTAAAATTTTCAACTTCTCTTTGGATCTTTTTAGTTAGAGATATTGGGTTACCTGCTATTCAATCTTAGTTTTTAGATGTTTGTCGATATGGCAAAAAACTGTTCTATGTTGACATCATCTGGACAAATAATAAAGACAAAAGAGAATTAAACGACTACCTTATTCAAGTCTATAAGTTTGCTACTGTACAAAAACATTTGCAGCCTGTTCATTACAACATGATACTGTTAGCTTTTACAGTTAACTACAGATTTCGATTAAAAATACTTTCAGATAACAGGAGATTGTATAATTTATATAACGAACTCGTTTTATTTAGATAACCATTGAAAACAAGGAAGTCATGGATAGCTGTTTCATCTTAGTATGAGATTCTTGAGCAATTCTCAAACACTACTCAATAGAGCGTTAAACGTAGGATCTTCAGGTCTTACGATGAGCTCATCACCTTTAGACCAATGAGTTGGTATCCAATGATTGACATGTTTAACTTCAATTAGTTCATTCAGGAGGGGTCATGGATACTCATTGATAAGGAGTTTCATATCCGGACAAAACAGATGCCTAATGCTTACTGATCTTCAATAGCTCTCTAACTGAGATTAATTCATCATGTAAATAATAAAATCCATAAAAATTAATATGAAATCTTATTCGAAGTTATCTAAATTAAAGATGAACATCAATGAAATTGGATCGTTTAGAAAGTTAACAATCATATGAGGGGAAATCACTTGTTTTAATCCTAATATAAAGAATTCCAATAGTCAAATTATACTAACCTAAATAAAATTCATTTAAGCAAGGAAAGTATTATCGGTTTCGAGAGAGGTCTATCCTACTCCGAAACGGATAACGGATGTGAGCAAGTAAATATGTAATTAATGCAGAATCAGAGGAGTAATATTATAATTAATAATTAGGCAAGTTATTATATCAAATGATAAATACAAAATTCAACATTCTGAAACCAACCAACAATAAAAACCATCATGTCATTACTGTGGATTAATTCCGAAGGGCGATTCCCCGAGTCCTGATAAGAAGATGTGATCAGTGGAGATACTGCACATCAGTACTGAAGGAGTTGTTCACCAACAACATCGGATGACAATTGAGAAGTATAGTGAGTTGACCAGAGTTAAATGCATCAACCTTTAAATGGAAACATACTTATCTCAAGACCATGTTGTCAAACTATATTTTGAGATCATGGGTTCGATACCTGATGATATTGTGGATGAACAATTCCAAGCATTTCTATGCCAAGATAAAATGACAGAGTGTTCTTCATCTGTACTCAATGTTAGTCTTGTTGTTATCAGTTCATGATACAATTTGGGAAATCACAAAAAAATTTCCACAACATACAGTTTAATGAAAGTGAATTTCAACAACCCCTATAGAGCCATTTCAATTAGCCAACGTTCTATTCATTCACATCCATTTACGGTAAACACTTTCTAGTATGGTTCAGTAAATGTGGAGTTAAGTCGATGGACAGATCTAATCTAGATCATTTTATTCCAAAAACTCAACATTATTCAACCATTTCCAATGGTCATTATAGTCAGTAATTTTTCAGCAGCATTCAAAATCAAAATAACAAAAGTCATGAAAATTCAAAAACCAAAGTTCTTCATTTCAAACGAAGTTGATTCTGAATCTTTTTCTCTTAATCTAAACCAACTTCCTTCACAACATGACTTAAACGAATGAATGTTGTATATACGCTTCTCTGTATTCTCATGAGATTGCCAAATTCAATTCGTTATTAGTTTAGGTGTTTGTATATTGTAAATGTTTTCTCAACTACATACATAACACACAAGATTGATGTTCAATTCAAGACTCGAACCCTTTATTGTTCACTTCAAACACCATCATGTTATCACTTACATATTGAGAAGTGATAGTCAACTGCTTGTGCATGAAGTTGTGGATGAAATTGAAATTCATTTGATATCGTTTGCTTGTATCTTCTCATTGTTGTTTAGCAGTGTAATTGATCAGTCTCTTATTGCTATATATATGCATTCTATGTAGACTGTCTCGAAATTACTCTCATTCACAAGCATTATAAATAAAAAGATGGATGTGGGGGCTAGCAGTGGAATCCACGACACACATTTCATCTCAGAAAGCTTGTGACTTAAAGTACTATTGAGGCAACACACATAGTATGCAAATATGCCAATAACAGACTGATCAATCGCAACCCCAAACATCAATACAATGATTCAAACAAACAATACGAAGTGAATGTGAGCAATAACACTTCAATAATTAAATCATTCAAATGAATACCATTGATCAATCGTCAATAGTAAAATCATCTACATAATTATTATCAGTAATGATCAATGGTAAAACTATATATCACATTAGTGAATTAATTCGAATCAAGACGGAAGATTAGTTCTCTGTGGATAACTAAAACAATATGATCTGTAATGTTTTCAGTGTTCCAATAAATCGGTTGTATCCAACACTACTGAATGTGTTTTCTTCTTGTTCATTCAATGGTTGACTACAACATCAAGTTGTCATTTCAATTTTATACTATGAATCTCACTCATATCTGTGATATTCATTCAGTATGTTAGATTATGTAACAGTAATTTAGTCATATCTGACAGCTGAAAATAACTACAGACACTTGAAATGTCACGCTTCAATAACCAGTAAATACTCGCTAAATGAACAAAATCAATAGTCGATTATTCAAGATGTAAAACATTGATTGAATGTTGTAGATAATGTCACTCCACTACGTGTACACTTTGTGAAGAACTTCATGTAAGTGATCGTGATTCAGGATTTTGTTCTCTGAACTGAATGATTTGTTCGTGGAGCTTTCATTGTTCATCATTAGCACACAATTCAGATAGGAGTCTACCACAACAATAACGATGAAGGCTCTATGAACAAACAAACCATCCAGTTCAGAGAACAAAACTCCATCAAAATCACCCACTTCAACAACCATAATTGTTATATCATGACTTCATTGAAATGACATCGTATGGTAATGAGATAGAACTCACTCATCACTCTCCTTGTTCAATCTTCTTTTAAATTAAATCTTCAATAAAATGATATCAATATTGATACAGTGAAACGATAAAAGCACATTCTATAAGTTACATGTTCTTCAAATGATCACAATTGTGATGCACATAAAACATTACTAGATGCTTAGATTATTGTTTTCTATGATCACATAATCGACGCCTAATCTTTTCCTTCCTACTCCTTCTTTCCTAACATTTATGTAGAAAATTTCTTCAGACTGTGGATACAACACAGTGATCTGGTATGTGACGAAATCACAGCACGGATACAGAAGGCTCGACTAGCTTTTGCCAACTTGCGTCATTTATGGCGTAGGCGAGATATCCGTCTAGCAACAAAATGATGGGTTTACTGTGCAGAAGCTCGTTCCATCCTAATTAATGGCGGTGAAACATCGCTGATAAGAGTAGAGGATATTCGTAGGTTACTAGTATTCGGTCATAGGTGTCTTCGAAGCATTCCTCGTATATCCTGGGACCATCGAGTAAGTGATGCAGTTGTTAGGAAACGGTTACTAGGCAAGGATGGCAAATCGATTAATGAATTAATGAAACTTCATCAGTTGAGATGACTGGGATACGTGTTGCGTATGCCCAACCATCGACTGCCCCGACGTGCGATGTTTTATGGTGTAGGAGTAGGTTGGAAGAAAGCTAGAAGTGACCACACCAAAACATGGCACAAATCCATAAAGTCACTGATAAGTGGACTGAGTCATGTTGGTCGGTGTAGACTACGTGGTTGGGATCCGAGAGATGAAAGCAACCGATGGTTAGAGACCCTGAATGACATGGCTCAAAATGGTTTGCAATGGCGCAAGTGCATCCACTCATTGTGTTCTCCCAAATTCTAATCTTCTGGATTCTTCATATCCCTTTCTTTTATCTCTTTCCAAATTTATTTCACTGGATTATGTCCCGTGTATAGCCTCTTCAAACTATGTTTCCGATTACTGCTTATACTTTTACTACCCCTACCACAATGGGATTTGAATCGACAACTGCATCTCTATGTTAATGTGGTATGGCAACTCGAATTGATGTACGTACGTACGAAGTACTACGTTGTTGTTGCTGACTGACTGACTGACTAACTGAGAACCATACAATGAATACTTCATTTGCATAATGTTAGTCACTTGTCTCAGACTTGATCATTCCTTCATTTCTACACCAATCATTCTCTGACCTCGTTTTCTTTTCTTCGATCTTCTTAATATTCTACCACCAGACATTTCATTTTTCAATTGATAATATATACTACTTATATTTGTCGACATCAGTAGCACACATACACACACACACACCATAGTACCAGGGAATATTTTAACAAAATTAGTATGAGGTTTTAATGATTTATCATTTGAGAATTTGTTAGATAATAAGCCTTCTTCGAAGATACACTGATTTTATTGTCCAATATAGTCATCAAATGAAGATTATTATTATTATTATTATTGTTATAATAAGGGATCTACTGAATTGAAACTATAAAGGGGAATATATTACATAATAGATAATCAGTAAATAATTATCGAAATGTCTGATTTAGCATAGATGAATAGTTGAATGTCATTGTTATTACTCCTTATCAGATGAATTGTATGATTAGGCTTTCTATTTTAACTCATTCATTATTGTTATGTAATTTCTGTGTAATATGTACATAGATGATGAGTTTTTATGAATAATCAGTAAGCGCCATCTATAAGCAAATCTCTGAACTCATCTATTCATATCTGTATACGTACATAATATGAATGCTTGGTTAATAGTACATATGCCTTTATAGTAGTATCTAATTGAATCTATATAGAGTAGAGTAAATGTAAGTAAGTACCTTTTTGGAATAAACATTTTGTATGTGAATAAAATAAGAGAATCTACAAACCTATTTGATATTCTATTTGTAATAGATAAGCCATTGATGATGATGATGATGATGATGATGATGATGATGATGATGATGATGATGATGATGATGATGATGATGATGATGATGATGATGATGATGATGATGATGATGATGATGATGATGATGATGATGATGATGATGATGATGATGATAAAGATTAAACCTGAATTGTATCCATTTGTCAATACCTTCAATATTACCGCAAAAAATTAGTTCATTCTTACTGTAGAATATGAACATAAACTTTAATTAATCATGATGAATGGGTGTTATGTTCACTTCAAAGAGAAACTTTTAATGTTTTATCATTTATTTTTTGTTTGATGTTGTTTACTTGTATCTTTCCAGGTACATTCAGCTGATGAGTCCCAAAACAGGACGAAACACGCATCTTTGATTCCACTGCTAGCCACTATTCATTTTATTTATCTTTTGGCTAATAAATTAAGGGTATATTTAGTGTATCAACTCATATTAATTATAAAATAGGTCAGTTTTTGTACAAACAGCCTTATATAAGTTATAAAAAAGTAATACAAATGATCTTTCAAGATATGCAATGATTGATAGTTGATAGAAGTGGAAACTAGTTTGACGCACATTTTCGTTCTAGTTGGTACTCGTCAGTTAGATGTAACTGCATCTCAGAGTTGATGTTTACTCTGGGAATCGAACCCAATAACGTTCGCTTCAAATGCCAACAAGTTATACACTTACCTACTGAGTACTGATAGCTACTTGATTGTGAAATGGAGTAAGGTTTAACTTCACTTGGTAGATTCATATAAACAATACAAAGTGAAATGGTCTTGTTATCAGTTGTTAAGTAGATGTATTTGTGAAGTTATATGCATTAATGGATAGTGGTTACAAGTGGAATCCTTGTGAATGCTCGTGAATTAATGCCATATCGAGGCAGTACGCACAGTATGCACATGTGCCAATAACAGACTGATCAATTGCAGTCCTAATCATCAATAAGAAGATTCAAAAAAACAATACCAATTGAATTGGATCTTTTATGATCCTTACAATATTTCTATGTGAATTCATTAAATTCATTTATTAATCAACGAAATAGTTGAGATCATGTGTCAATTGAAGCTAGATCACCATGACAAACCTGAGAGTATTGAACAACCGTTTCGTTATACTGTGGGACAGCAGTGCCGTCTAGTGCTTCCAGGTTTTCGACGGGGATCTAGCTTTAATTAACTCATAATCTCACCCATTAAAAAGTCACCATAATATCCACAAAACCCCTTCTAACATGAATCAACGAAATGATATTATATTAATCAGGTAGTCAGTGATAAGGTAATGTAGAACATTCATAGAAATGCATCAGTTCAAGTTTACTGTATTGTATCCATAGTATGAAGAAATTTTCTACATAAATGTTAGGAAAGAAGGAGTAGGAAGGAAAAGATTAGGCGTCGATTATGTGATCATAGAAAACAATAATCTAAGCATCTAGTAATGTTTTATGTGCATCACAATTGTGATCATTTGAAGAACATGTAACTTATAGAATGTGCTTTTATCGTTTCACTGTATCAATATTGATATCATTTTATTGAAGATTTAATTTAAAAGAAGATTGAACAAGGAGAGTGATGAGTGAGTTCTATCTCATTACCATACGATGTCATTTCAATGAAGTCATGATATAACAATTATGGTTGTTGAAGTGGGTGATTTTGATGGAGTTTTGTTCTCTGAACTGGATGGTTTGTTTGTTCATAGAGCCTTCATCGTTATTGTTGTGGTAGACTCCTATCTGAATTGTGTGCTAATGATGAACAATGAAAGCTCCACGAACAAATCATTCAGTTCAGAGAACAAAATCCTGAATCACGATCACTTACATGAAGTTCTTCACAAAGTGTACACGTAGTGGAGTGACATTATCTACAACATTCAATCAATGTTTTACATCTTGAATAATCGACTATTGATTTTGTTCATTTAGCGAGTATTTACTGGTTATTGAAGCGTGACATTTCAAGTGTCTGTAGTTATTTTCAGCTGTCAGATATGACTAAATTACTGTTACATAATCTAACATACTGAATGAATATCACAGATATGAGTGAGATTCATAGTATAAAATTGAAATGACAACTTGATGTTGTAGTCAACCATTGAATGAACAAGAAGAAAACACATTCAGTAGTGTTGGATACAACCGATTTATTGGAACACTGAAAACATTACAGATCATATTGTTTTAGTTATCCACAGAGAACTAATCTTCCGTCTTGATTCGAATTAATTCACTAATGTGATATATAGTTTTACCATTGATCATTACTGATAATAATTATGTAGATGATTTTACTATTGACGATTGATCAATGGTATTCATTTGAATGATTTAATTATTGAAGTGTTATTGCTCACATTCACTTCATATTGTTTGTTTGAATCATTGTATTGATGTTTGGGGTTGCGATTGATCAGTCTGTTATTGGCATATTTGCATACTATGCGTTTTGGTTCAACATCGTGCTCAATTCATGATCTTAATTAAAACTCAACCATTTTCATCATCCTATTCTTAACAGTGATATCTCTGATAAATAAGCAAGGATCAAATACCAAGTTTGAAGTTGATAATTTCATCTATGTTGACCATTGGTTAGAAAATTAATGTTAAATACATTTTGAAAAATTATATCTGTATGAGTATAAAAATTGTATTTTTGACGATGTTTCGTCATTTACTTTAAGATGCTTCTTCAGAGTAAATAGATAACCGTGAAAGAAATATATTTTTTACTGATTAGGATATTACAAAAGACATATCTGCTATTGAAAAAAGGATCGTAGTTAATATAGAGATTTTTGATATTCTTACAGTAAGGATGATACAATTAGATCGATAATTTAGAAGTTAACCAATGACATTTTCAACAATATTCAATATATGATCTATGCTGACATTTACATTATTCCATCATTAAGTTATTGGCTAAATATAAACCAGAGGTAATCTCATTTTACAGATGAGCGATATTATCACTTTTCTATTTCTTTTACCCATAACATTCAACATATCGAAAGTCATTTAACTTCACCAATACATGACATTGATATGGAAGACGAAATCAACTTTCGTAAATTATTTCATTATGGTGAATACTTGCTTACTTTACTTTGCTTACTTAATTAATTTACTTTTCTTACTTACCAACTTTGCTTTAATTATGTACTTAATTATTTGTTAATTTTGCCTACTTACTTACTTACTTACTTTGCTTTACTTTACTTTACTTACGCCTGTTGCAGTGAGTACAGATATGAAATCAAAATCAGATTCAAACCCTAAGGAAATATTCCTATATGATAAAATGTACAATGGTTCACATTTCTGCAAGAATTGAGTCCGGAAACAGATGAATTTTATTGTGCAGTTGAAAAAAAAGCTGATTACATCACTACTAATCGATACTTTAAGAAAATGTCTAAATAATGCATTTCAAACGAATAATCAGAAAGAGATCATTGATGTATACTGCTGAGGAGTCCCATGCTAAAGGGAAATGGATATTCAGTACCATCCACGTATTCAACATTGACTAATTACGATTGTATCGTAGTTTCAATGAGAGTATTATTATTTTACCAATAATACACAGATTCCTTCTCAGAAATTAACTCGACTTTATAAAAACAGATAAATCATTGAATTCTAACTCTATAAATGTTACTCGAATCGTCGAATAGGAATTTCCAAAACTTTATCCTGTGTGTGTTGGACGGCGTACACAACTGATGAAGAATGCTACATTAAGATGTAAAAAATAGTTATCGGATTAATTCCAGTCACTAACCGATATCTACATAAATGTGTGAGTAAAATATAGTGCATTAACACAACTATTTTAACCCTTATCTTGTTTCGTTGAACATTAAGATGGTGAACTAAAATGTCATCAACTTGAATGATGAAGTCTTTAAAACACAACTCCAAAGATAACACTTTAGTTCATTTCAGTAGTATATCAAATTTGATAGTAGTAGGTCAATAATCAGTCTTTTTGAAAAACAATGTAATACATGAATGTTATTCTTAAACAGATTTCATCAGTCGAAAGACTGCAGAATTCAAGACTTTCTTTAAAGTTCTATGTAATGATAACACCACTAGATTTTAAACCGTCACAAAACAGCTTGAAATTCATTCTTCTTTTCTGAAGTTTTCATACATAAGCGATGACTTAGAGTTAATGAGTTAAAAAACTGCGCCAAATTTAATTTTGAAGGCTTTTTTTGTTTAAAACGTTTAAATCGTCTAATTTTCCTGGAATGTTTAAATAACTTTTGACAAATAAGATAACTCAGAATAGTTTAGCTTAATCGAACGACACAGATGTTGTTTTCTTTTAATCATTTAGTTTATTGCTCACATCGGATTGTCATATTGACGTTAATTGATGACGAATTAAAAGAAGGAGGTTTAATAGAGATTTTAGTAATTTAATAATTGAATTCATGAATCGATTGAAGCTAGACCACCATGAAAAACCTGGAAGCATTGGAGGGCCGATTCATCCAAGTATGAATTTTCACAAAACCCTATTATGATAATAATCATAATCTGGTCACTAGTGACTGGTTTTAAGGGGTATTTCCTAGAGTTCTAGTGAGAAGGCATAATCAGTTAAGTTCAACGAGGTCTTTTGTGAGATAGCAACCCACTAAAGACAATGATAGACGGTGGCACAATTTCGTGAATTCGTTAAAGTTAAACATTAACACTATCGAATGCCGGCTCATTGGTCTAAAGGTTAAGCGTCCGTGCGCAAAACCGACAGGTCTTGGGTTCGACTCCCACGTACAGGATCGTGAATACACACTGCTGTATTATCCCATATTAGGACGAAGCAGTCGTTCATTGTTTCTAGGTTTTTCCATGGTGGTATAGCTTTAATTGATTCATGAATTCAATTATTTAAATACAAGTGAATAATTTGATAATTCATTCATGTACATTTGAAATGAGAGATTATGCAAGTACTGAACAAACAGAAGATAATGTTTTAGACAATAATTATGCTAAAAAGTCTATTAAATCAACTCTCATTCCGCATGACATTGTTGTCAAAAGATGTTACCCAGCATACTATAGACACATAGAATGATATCCCTGACTGAAATATTAATCATACTTGAATATACATGTATATGTATATTGAATTTGATGGAGTTGACTAACCAAATTAATGAATTTAGGATAAAAAAAGAGTTTTATAACATTCACATCATCAAATGAATGAGTTAAGCGAATTCAAATGAAAAAAACCTTTGAAATAAGTGGAAATTTCAGATCGAAAATTCCCTGTTGAACATCTTTATCCATATAATACCATAACAAACCAGATACCAGTAAAGGAAGAAATCATGAAGAAGCGATGAAAGTGACATAGGATATATATTGAGGAAAACACTCAACTGAATCACAACGCAAGTCCTCACATAGAATCCTCAACGTCAAAGGAGAAGAGGAAGACCAAAGAACACATTACGCCAAGAAATGGAGACAGACATGAAAAGAATGAATACTAATTGGATAGAACTAAAGAGGAAGGCCCAGGACAGAGTGGATTAGAGAATGTTGATCGGCGGCCTATTCTTCTTTGGGAGTAATAGGCGTGAGTAAGTAAAGTAAGTAATTACCAAACACTTTGAGTAGATCGATCACTTTATTGGAAAGATTTTGTTTTAGTATTAGATATTGCAATTCATGGTTATTGATTGTCCATACAATGACTAAATTATTCTACGAAATTTCCTTGGTAATAATATAATTTTGTCATCGTTTGTAGAGATCATTCAGTTTGAATATGCCTTTAATCACAATCTAAATTTACCTGAATAGTCACTGAAAACCTGGGAGCACTGAATAGCTGTTCCATTATGATATAGATCTTCTCAGCAGTTCATAACCACAACACTGTCAGAAAGAGAATGTAAAGTCTTTAAGCTAAGCGGTAAGCTACATTTAGATCAGTGTTTTAACATGAAGTGATTAACATTTTCAAATTTAGTTAATTCACTATACTTTACGACGATTATTCAATGCCATCTGTGATGACTATGTTATTTTAACATGTAGACTGCTGAATGCTAAGTACCTTCATCAGAATGACGTGTGTTTGTTGTTGAGGAGAATTATACCGAAATATTACTCCTATCCAGTGATCCATGGTTTTCAATGATTTTCATGCTCAAGTTAATGAGTGAAGTAAGCTATATGTTACCTGAAATGTTCAATACTTACAGTCCAAAGAGTGAGTGAATAGAATGAATAAAGCTCTATGGATAGCAAATAGCTTCCAAGTGAACAATAAAAGTCAGTGAATTTCATTTGGTTAATTTACTTAAATATATAACAGACTTCAGTGTTGATATGTTCAATAAGAACAAGACATGTTTGTCAACTAGACTGTAATCAGACAAAGTAATGGGTTCGGAAACTGACATGTAATTCACATCTCTGATACACAATGGTAAATATATTTAGCTTAGGAAGTTTGTGAAGGCTCTATGCTCATTTAATCATGAAGCTTTCATGGTCCATTTAAACGACTTTATTAACGAACTTCGGAAATAATTAAGCATAAGTGATTAGCAGCTTATTTTGTGGAGACTGAATTTGATTTGTAGTTCTCTCTGGTTGTACCGTTACTATTATTATGTTTACTGCAGTAAATTATTAAAGTATTTTTCAAATAATAACCTATAATCCTGCTCGCATGAATCGAATCCCTCGTGCAGGATGATGAATGAGCACTGCTGAAGAGTCCCGCAATAGGATGAAACGGCCATTCAGTGTTTCCAGGTTTACAATGGTAGTCTAACATTAATCGGTTCATGATCTCAATCAAAAACTCAATAATCTTCACAGCCACATAGTGATAAGTAACCAAAAACAACTTTCTAGTATTCCTTAATATTGAATGATTTCACTAACGGATATTATTCATTTGAGTATAGAGTTGATCAATATGATAGTTTCATTGGTATTAGTAACCACTACTTTTGTAAACAACATTATCATTATCAATATCATTAGTTACATTACTTACCTTGAATAGGTGGTGGTGGTGGTGGTAGTAGTGATGGTTGTGATTGTGTAAATTTTTCTTGTTTTCTTGAATGTTTTAGTTTTCTTCTTGGTCTATATTTATAATCTGGATATGCTTTCATATGATTCACTCTTAAACGTTTAGCTTCATCAATAAATGGACGTTTTTCATTATCTGTTAATAATTTCCATTCAATACCTAATCGTTTACTTATTTCAGAATTATGCATTTTTGGATTAGCTTGAGCCATTTTACGTCGTTGACCACGTGACCATACCATAAATGCATTCATTGGACGTTTAACATGTAAATGATTATGATTATGATGATAACGATGTTGATGATGAAGTGATGGAAGAGGAGAAAGAGGTGAAGAAGATGGAGATGTTTGATGATAATACTGATGATGATGATAAACTGAAGTCGTTGGTGACAATGATGAAGATGTTGTATTCGTTGTGATTGGTGATGATGCAAGTGAAGTTACTAGTTGATTATTATTATGATTATTATTCACAGTATTTTGTTTTGTATTAGACATTGACATCATCAAGTCTGAATTCATAATCATTGTCATCATAGTTGCAGTATTCATTTGTTCTTTATTATTTACATAATCATAATCAATTGATGATAATGAATCTTTTGATATAATTCCTATTGAATTCATAGATGGATAATAAGAATGATTAAGTATATTTGTATCCATATGATCATTATTGATGGTTTGTTGTTGTTTATGATTTGTGATGTAATGCATTAATTGATTCCATATAAATGGATTCGTAGTGGTAGTAGTAGTAGTAGTAGTACTAGTAGTAGTAATAGTAGTAGTAGTATTCATTCTGTTCATATGATAAATCAGTTTCTTTGCCTTGACGACTACTTACCTAGCATAGATACACGTATATATATATATTCAGTTCATTGTTATTCAATGACTTTGTTGTTACATCAGTATCAGGATTTTGTTATTGACTTACATATTTTTTTTCTTTTATTTATTTACCTTTTCAATTACTGAATAGACATGAGTAGACTTCTTGTTGTTGTTGTTGTTGTTGTCATTGTTATTATTATCATCATAATTGTTAGTATTCACAATACTGAAAGTGATAATACTTTCGTCACAGTTTCTTCAAATCTTCAATAATAAAGATAGTAGGATTGATGAATGTTTGTTCATTCTGACAGATTGCCTTCTTCTGTTCCCTTTTCTTCTTCTTTCTTTTTGTTGTTAGTTCTTTTCTGTTTTGATGAATCCTCTCCACCCTAATTTTTTTTCTCCTATTAGATAGAGAGTAGTAGTAGTTGGAAACAGATTTCTTTCTTTCTTTCTTTTATTATTCTTCTTCTTCTTTCATTCATTTTCTATTGGTTTAACGTGATAAATTGCCTTTCTTTTTTTATTTATTCTCATCGCTTATTTTTGTTGTTGTTAATGGTCTTTCATCCCTGTGGTTATTTATCATTGGACTAGATTTCCTGGGTAAATATGTATATCTGAGTGTGTGTGTGTGTGTGTGTGTGGTTTTACCTACTGTTAGTTTTATTCTGATTGTAACTGTGGTTTTTGGTAGGTAGTCAACTAGTAGTATTATCACTCTTGTAGATATTGTCTTCACAGAATTTGTTATCCATTTGTTCCTCTAATTTATGAAAGGATAGAAATAACTTTAAGTTTATGTGATTGTATATAAATTCCATTGTATCATAATACACAAGTGTAATGAGCTAGTGTCTAGTGTATGAATGTGAACGCACAATCATTATAGTCACCATTCAGAATAGAGAATTAAGTATAGAGATGTTTATCTAACTATTGTATTTCATATCAACTGCTACTTATCATTTGATAAAAAGAAAGATTGTAATTTACACTACTGCAAAGAATAATAATGATATTGCCATTACTACTACTACTACTACTACTACTACTACTACTACTACTACTACTACTACTACTACTACTACTAATAATAATAATAATAATAATAATAATAATAATAATAATAATAATAGTAATTCGTGGATTGGACACCGGTTCAATGGTCTAGAGGTTAAGCATTCGCGCTCGAGACTAATAGGTTCTGGGTTCGAATCCCTTGTGTAGGATCGTGGATGAGCACTGCTGAGGAGTCCCATACTAGGACGAAACGGCCGTCCAGTACTTCCAGGTCTTTCATCGTGGTCTAGCTTTGACTGACTTATGGATTCAACTATAAAATTCTAATAATAACATTAACAACAATCAGAATGATGACTATAAATTGACTATTGACTATTATGTGATAGCATTAAATAAAAGCAATGATTCTACTAGTGTCTCATTCACAAGTGTTTAAGTCATCCATTTCCCAATGATATGAAGATATTGCAACAAATGTTCTAGTTGTAGATTTTGTTTAAACTGAATAAATACGATTTTCAATGGTATGCAGTTATACAGTTATACACTTATTGGGAAATTTTCCTGTTTGTCTACTAATTGATTCATTGAGAGGTGACTACACTTATTTATCCAATATAGAATGGATGAGTCAGTTAGTCAGTCAGTTAGCTGCAATGTAGGAGCAGGCACACATGTGCATCGGTCCAAGTTGACATACCGCATTAGCACAACAAAATGAACACCGAATTCATTGAAGTAGTTAGTTCAATGGTGGTAATATATAAAAGAAAGATTGTATATAAGGATATAGTACAGGAAGAAAGAATTAGTTCAGAGAAAGAAAGATATGAAGTGATTTTAATCTCTTAGTTTAAGGGAAGACAGGGAGTGTATACACCCACGCCATTGTGACCGATTCTGAGCCATGTCACCAAGAGTCTCCAACCATTGGTTACGAAAGTCACGCGGACCCCAACCAAGTAGTCGGCATCTACCAACACGGCATAGACTAGAAGTTAGTGACTTTATGGACTGATTCCAAATTTTGGTTTGGCCACCCCTAACTTTCTCCCAACCATCCCCAACACGCGCTGTGGCGGTCGATGTTCAGGCATACGTACCACATGGTGGATGGAGAAAACAGTTATAACATCTGAACTGGTTGGAAAGTTTAGCAGTTGAACTTCAATGACCATTGGAAAATAACTAAAGGGATATATTTTTTTCGACTTTTTTAACAGTCAAAGTATTTACAAAAAGGGTTATTGTAGAATCAAATGATTAGTGCCGAAAATTTCTAACAGGAAAAACGTTTCTAATTTGAAATAAAGTGATTATTATTATTATTATTACTGATATCAATGTGAATTACAATTCCATTTGGGTACTGTCGTTCAGCAATGATCAGTTTTGTTAACACATTATAAATAAATTAATTCATGCACTAAATTCACTTGGTATTGTTTGTTTAAATCTTCCCATTGATGTTTAGGACTGTGATTGATCAGTTTCTTATTGGCATATGTGCATACTGTACGGTTTGCCTCGAAATTCACAAGCATTTAAAGCATAGATCGATAGTGGCTAGAAGTGGAATCCAGTATGACGCGCGTTTCGTCCTCTTTAAGACTCGTCATACCGAGTGAATTTGAACTTCATCCGATTGTACAAGCAAGTATCTATCAGCACTCAATAGCGAAGTAGATAACGCGATGACATTTGAAGCGAAAGGTACTTGGTTCGGGTCACAGGGTGAACATCAACTCTATGATGCAGGTACATCCAGCTGACAAGTCCAAAATAGGACGAGACGTGCATCAAACTGGATTCCACCACTACTATCCACTATCTATCTTTCCTTAAAGTACTTTATACACCGTTTCCTTATATATAATTCCATTTCTTTCAAGTTTAAAAGACATGCTCTTTATTTCAATTATATAGATTCTTTGAAATGTATAACAGATCTAGGAAATCAAAATATGTATTAACAATTATTCTTGTTAAACAAATTGATCATTTCTTAAACTTGACTATTGGTACTTTACCCTTTGAACCACTACATTTGATCCAGATCATTAGCATTTTTGATAATATTCTTGATAACTATATTAGATGTGTGAATTGTTTCCAACATATGAAAATTTCTTGTGTGTATATGTATAGGGTTATAATTAAGAAGGTCGAATATTCGCTTAATTAGTTTGAAATTTGATTGCTTTACTAGTGATTTGCTAAGAAAACTATGGTTACTCTGTCATTACCATTGAATATGTCATGTTTATTGAGTCCTTTTTAATGCTAATTAGAATCAATCAATCATGTTGTAATATGATCACTAGTTTACGTGCCTAGAGATCAGTTAAATTGTTTTAATGTTTGATGGTTACAAATAATCATAAGAAAACTGTGATCATAGATTCCCTACTAGATATCATGCATCATTGATGAGTATCTCTTGATAAACTCTGTGATATTCCAATTATAGTCATTATTAGAGTTGAGAGTTAGATACCTGAGTAATAAAATGTCAGGTTGTAAAGATAAGTGTCTCTCATTCGAATCTAACAGAAAGCATCGATTTCCTAGAGGTTGGAGGTAAGTCATACTGTCAAATGCCATATAACATGAAACCTAGTTCCACAATTTTCTCTTGACTACCTCCAACCATCTAACATCGATTATATTACTTATATTTTATTCAAAATAAAAGTCAGTTTTGATAGATGCCGTTGAAAATATAAATCTAGGCTGAAATATATATATTGAACAAATTCCAAAAATAATAGATTTGTTGGCGGTAACATATAATTAACTAAGGTACTGAACATCCCATATTATCACTACATCCTTTTAAGAGGAAGTAAGGGTTGCTGAACCAGCGCTTGGACCACAGGTTTCCACGAATTTTAGTGAGATGCAGGGACCACTGAAGTTCAGTCGGGCCCGTTGTGAGATAGTAACTCACTGATGACAATGGTCGACGGTGGTGCAACTTCGTGGATTGGTTGAAGTTAGATATTAACACCGTTGGATGCTGACTCAGTGGTTTAGAGGTTAAACGCTGATACGTACTGGGTTCGAACCTCGCGAGCCGGGATCGTGGATACGCATTTCTGAGGAATCCCATACTAGAACGAAATGGCCGTTCAGTGCTTCCAAGTTTTCCATGGTGGTCTATCTTCAACTGACTCATGAAATCAACTACTAAAATAATAATGAATTATGGAATAACTCAACAGAAAGTAACGAGTTTCATTTAAAAAATTCATTCAATAGATGCAAAATGTGAGAATTTATAGAAGACTAGTGTCTATAAATGATATTTAAATCAACAATAAAACCAGAATAATATTATGTATTTATCATTAAATTATGAAACTTTTCCGGCGTCTGTTACCTCCAGTGGATAATAGGCTGCCGACCATTATTCTCCAACCCACTCTGTCCTTAGCCTTCCTCTGTAGTTCTATCCATTCGTTGTTCATTCTTCTCATGTTTGTCCCCATTCCCCGGAGTAATGTGTTCTTTGGTGTTCGTCTTTTCCTTTATTTGGCCTTGAGGATTCCAAATGAGGACTTGCCTTGTAATGCACTTGAGTGCTTTCTTCAATATATATCCTATCCACTTCCATCGCTTCTTCCTGATTTGTTTCTCCGCTGAAATCTGGTCTGTTCTCCTTCACAGTAAGTTGTCGCCCTTCCTGGAGCTCCTCTGAGGCTACTGCCGGTCTTTAAGCCCGGATAAAGGAGGAGAGTTGGGTATAGGGTTAGCGACCGCATCCTGTAAAAAACTAACTGGCTAAAAGAAACGTTAACCAGAATTCATCAACTAATGTTAATTAATAATTAAAAAGGTATGTTTAAACTTAAGGTAATAAGAATAAGAATCAGAAGTATGAAACACAAATGTTTTTTCTTCTACATCTTTTTTCCTTTATACAAATCACCCTC